TAGGTCATCACAGTCTGCACAAATGGATGGTCAGTTAGGAGTGTTGAATATATATATATAAATATATATGTACAAATATTTATTTAACGTTGCCCAGTGCCATTTATTGTATATTGTTATTTTGTATTCAGTTCAAATCCCTTCAAATAATATTTAAAAATAGTGGGAAATAATCCATTCAGAATGCCTTTGAAGACCATTGGTCAAGATAATATCTTTACTTCCATTTCACCTCTATTTATGCAGTGTATTAATAAAAGGCTTGACAGTCCCTGACAGCAAAAACAGCAGCAGAAAAAGTATACATTATAGAAGTGTGTAAAGAAGTACGTACAAGTAAATAACCACTTTTTTTTTTTGACATGGACAACCATCAAAGTTCTGTCTGTCTATCTGACTACGTAGGTTCACTCAAAACCTACAAGCAAGCGATAAATCTTGAAATCAGTCCAATTGAAAGTGTGACTAAAACTGTCTATGAAGATTCTCAGTCATCCAGGTCGTGGTCAAGGTTGAAAAGTTCTGTCAGAACAGAACTTTTCAACCTTGGCTAAAACTGGAGTTTCAGTATAAATCAACATAATTTTTTTTTATATATCAATCCTTGCACCACCTGGCTCAGAGTTGTGATTTGTCACGTTGAATGACTGAGTGAATGAGTGAACTTCGGAAGAGTGACACGTCATTAGATTATATAGTGACGTTCAAGTATTTGTTAAGAATCAGGATTTTTCTAGCTCCGAACAGACATCTGTAAATTTCCTCATCCTCCATCTGTTCAGCAGCTTGCCTTTTGCTGGTTGGACTAACTGCACTAAGTCTCCTCTGTGCTCCTGCAGCTCCTCCCAGTGGCAGCTTAAGCAACACATTGGCCACTACTCTTAGAATGCTTTTCAGCTTGCATCACGTTTTCCTTCAGAACATGAAACTGCTGAGTGGGTGGGTCAGCTACAAAAGAGAAGCAACAACGTTTCTGAGGGATGACTAATATTTATGAATGGGTCTTCACAGCAACAGTGGCACGATCTGGGTTGTGTAGCTTCGGCCTCGTCACTCCCTCCAAACAATCGCTTACGCAGAACTTGCTGGACCACTTCTAAAGTTGTGCAATAGAACTAAACACACACACATTCAATACACTGGTCCTTCTGTACTTATGAAGACACTCGATGAAATAGTATGAAGAGTTCTCTGGCCCAAACCCTAATGCCACCTTAATGCTTAAACTTTTGTCCCCTGAACCGTTGGATACTAATATGTCACAACAGTTACAGACATGTAGGCAAGAAATGGGTCAAAGGTGTAAGAGTCACAATAAACCACAATACATTTTTCTGAAATCACTATCGTCCAGTGAATTTCTTGGATTTCTCAATGTTCTGATTGTTGTGATGATGAATTTGAACCAAGGGACAAAGGAAATTTACTGACCCTTGTTTTGACTGCGGTGATTTTTTTAACAGTAGCTTCAGTTCTTAAGGTCAGAGAACCTTTTGTTTATAACACAAACATACAAATAGTGTCTTGAAAAATTAAAAAAAAAAAAAAAAACCTTTAGGCGTCCGGCTCACCGTTGTCAGGATAAAAATATAAATTTCAAGTATTTACCACAGCGTACCTTGACCTGGTTCCTCATACTCTGTCTTAAGGCCCTGGTCTTAACAACAGGCCCAATCTCAAAAACTGCTTTTTTCATCACTAAAAAAAAAAAAATCTTACCATTGAATATTGGTCGTAGCCGGTACAGGCCTGGACTGTGGGATGCCTCAGCTCAGCGCACAAGCTCTTCGTAAGCATTGCGAAAAATGATGGCCACCAGTCTTGTGGCTGTGGACCGTTTCGTCCCACGTCTGTGTAGCAGATCCTGCTCTGTTCTGCTTGAAGTTGCTTTCTCCTCCTCCCATATTTCTCTCTTTTGTCGGGTCCCAAAAGGGACTGTTCTCGGTCATCCCTCCCTTTATTATTGTAAGCATGTTACCCTGGAGCAACTCATGCAAAAACGTAACATTGCAATAGGCAGGCCACTTTTTCCCACCCTACCTCTCGCCCAGTGTCAGCTGGGATTGGCTTCATTTCCCCAGGATATGCTGAGGATCCTCAGCGTAGCCATTTTCTGCAGTAATTAGGTATAATTGTAATTGCACCATTACTCCTGCATTATCATTAGCTTTATTATATATCAACTAGATGAAGTGGTTTATTTGATAGTGCATTAAGAGAGCCCAGTAATTTATAAGTTACACTTGGCTTGACCAGTAAGTCAGGAGAGACAGGTGTTAAACCTGGGGCTCTGAGCTGAGATATTTCACCTGTAGAACGAACTAAAGGCTTTCATCATCTCTAGCTGGACCATGTCCTTGGTGTAAGCTGGTGAAATGAGGATCTTTTAGAAATTTGCTCAAGAAAAGGCAGGGAAATCTTTCATTGATATATTTTCTTTTTTTAATTAATTATTACACAATTCTCTGAAACAATAAGGTAGTATAAGGATAAAATATACTGTCTAGACTATTGACGTTTTTTAAATTATATTTGTTGATTGAGAGGGAGCAGTGGAAGCCTCTTTGGCTGCAGGAACAGAACGATGTGGGAAAAGCAGGGACACGAACCTCCAAGTTTCTGCAAAAGTGTAGTGCAGAAGCTTTTGATGTTTACGTAGCATGTGTTCCTTCATTGTGTGTTTACATTAAACATCTGCATTAATTAGTTATTTAGACTAAATTCCGTGTGTGCGCACATCAGTACAATTTTAAGCAGAACTTAGCAGAACTCTAACTGATGGTAGTGCAGAGCAGCAGAGCACACGTCGCCGTCAACATTTCTGTCTATGCGTGAGTTAACTGCTGAATACCTAATACAAAGGAGTTCCATCCCTTTCTCCAGATGGACTATAAATCACTGGTATAGTGAGGGGCAGATAAAAAGGTTGTCAGCAACATTTACGTAAATGGTAATTATGACAAATTATCCCTTCAAGCCATGTGTGCTAGCTACGCTACAGATGGATTGAAAAATGTGCAAGAATATTTTTTTTAGCTAGCAAAGAGAAAGCTTTTGAAGAGCTCATCATCCTAAGGTTTTTCCAATGTAGTGATGAGTTTATCTGCAGATATGAAACAATTAAGATTTAAGATCGCTGGGTTTAAATATTTAAACTTTTCAGCAGCCAACGATATTGAAACACAAGTGTGTTAGAGATGATCATAGAGATGATGAGAGCGGCTGCCTTGTTTTGGGTCCACTCTTCATTATCAAAAAAAAAAAAACACTTTAAGGGAACAACATGAATACAAACACAGTCAAATGACCACTTGAAAGTCTGCGGAAGTAGGGTTGTCAGTTTGTACAAAAAGGACTGCAAAGAATTTTTATATAAATTACCTTCAGTTGGGCTGTCAGCTCTGGTTGGTAAAATAAACTGCTTTGACGTTTGTTATAATAAGAGTTTGCCTCGCAGCTGTGTCTTTTAGTATCAGCATTCATCACTCTGTCAATCAGGTCATGACAGGTGTAGGAAAAAAGAGGGAAGAACCTGACATTGGTGTTAATCCGAAAAAATTATACCTATGTCGCACTTGACACTGGAATGATAGCTGCAGGTTTCAGATAAGGCCGCTGTGGACACTGCTCCACATTAACAGTGTTCATCACCAATTACACTTATTAGCTTCATGACTATTAGCCACGGGCACATCCACTACCTGCTTTTAGCTGCTCCCAAGACTATCAGTTTATCTAAGGAATGCACGCGACTGAGTCTCCTGAAGGATATGAGGTGTAATCAGGACTCGCATGTTGTAGCCCCGGTGCAGCACATGGCAGATCAATCACTTGTAAAACACGTCATCCCACACAGGTAACATGGTTGTACATGAGATTTACATTCCTCACTTGATTTTGATGTTCTTCTATGTGATTAATATGAGCGTCCAAAAAGAAAGAAGCACATTTTTCACAGCCCTCAACTTGAATGTATGGAAAGCTTTGTCTGCTTGTAATTGCAGGCTTTCAGAAAAGTGGTAACTCTACACTAAAGGTTTCACGTCGAAGTACGTCATTGCTGCATGGGGTTGACACGAAAAAAATTATACTGTGCGTCTAAATACTTACCACCTAGACAGACGATGACGTGCGCATACACACATTTTCACTTTATCACACACACACATCTACAATCACCTTTAAGGCAAAAAAAATGTGTGTGCTTTTTTTTTAGAGTGGTAACCGATGCTTTAACTTTGGGTTTGCGGTCACTTTTCGCACACTCCCGACCCTGCAAGGGACACAGTGCTAGACGTAAATGCAGGTTTGTAGACCAAGCACAGACACAGCGGTTTTGGAGAGTCAACCGGTGCAACACTCGTCTTTGGTCTTTTATGCTTTAATTAGGATTTTTACTTAAGGACAAAGTAAAAATGGTGACGCAAGTAGTAGACAGGTAAACACATGCTACAAAGTCGACTGAGTGAACAGTCACTTTGCGGTGTGCATTCATCTTTAGCCGTGTTTCATCCTACAAATGTTCCTCTCATGCACGAACCAAGTCTTCAGGAATACTTTTTTCTAACACAGTATACAGTTGGTCTAGTCTGTACAGTACAGTGTGGCCTCAACGATCAAAGTGTGCACATTGAAAATGTATTTACTAAGAAATCCTCTCACTAAGGTGACTGAGGTGTCATGAAGGTGGCTGACTGCTGAGCTCTAGGTCTGATCCGGTCCAAACCGGTTATGGAAAGTGATCCAATGATCTGTGGCTTTGACTGGACTGGAACTTCATGATGCATACAGTTCTCTTCTCATGTAATAATCCAAACTGTCCACCGTGCAAATGTTTGTCATGCTTTGGGATTTTAAGGAAATTTTATGTATCCTCCAGTCATAACACATGCATTTTTGTAACAAATGCATTCAGTCCTATCATGTTTGATGTTGCTTTGGTTAGACAGTCCTCTAAAGCGAAAATGAGTCAATGTGTTTTTGTTTTTTGTTTTTTACAGTCCTTTTTAAGCAGTGTCCAGATGGGTGGGTGGACGGACGGACGGAGAGATGGATGGATAGATGGATAGAACCAAAGCTGATGCTGACAGACAAATTTAGACGGTGCTAAATATGGTGCAGTATTCCACTTAAAGACCTTTCTGGTTATTGAGGGATAGGGAATAATGAAACACCATGTGACAAAGCGGTGACAGTCTCTGGCAGAATAACAGGCTCACTAATCCATTAAGCCAATAACTGCAGGACACAGACACCAGGACGAAGGACAGAAGTCTAACATAGGTCCATGAGCTGTCACAGGAATAATGTGTGACTGCTTATGTAACTGTACACAGTATGACTGTGCACACAGTAGGAAACGTACGGGTCGTATGGGTCCTTGAGTTGGATGTCACAAGTGGCAAAATTAAATGATCCAAATATTTGTCAGGGTTGGATGTGGCAAAAATTAAATGATCCAAATATTTGTCAGTTCTCTTATGAATTCACCTGAAATTACAATTTTTTTATTCCAGAATAAGACACTTTTTTGTATTTACGGTTGGTCTACGCTGTGGAGGCCATAATACAGGACCATCACATTTGGACTCGAGTAGAGTAGATATATAATACTAATCTAATACTGCAGTATTTGAAATACTCTGTGTGTTTCTATGTTACTGAAGTCTACCATGTGCTCAACATCATGCTTGAACAGCCATGTCATAGTGAGGACTCTTCAACCACAACATCACCACTAGATGTTGCTAAATCTAATTCAGTGTTCCTTTAACCCCAGCTGACCTTTAATCAGAATATATCATATATATATTTCATCAATATGAAGGTTGAGAATTACACGTTAGGGGTTCGTGCTCCCTGAGGTATTTTTAATATACATATGTACATTGTGTTTAATATATATATATATATATATATATACACATATATATATATATATCTCTCTCTCTCTCTCTCCCCTCTCTCTCTCTCTCTCTCTTTGTTGTGTGTTGTCAGGCCTTCATCAAGCAGAGGCTTCTAATTCCTGCAGTGAAATCCTCTTAGGATCTACGCTCTATTTCTGTTTGGTGCACGGGGTCTTTTTTGAAATCTCCATTAGGGCTGAGTCTCATTGGCTGTAAAAGACGCACGCATGCACGCAGAAACACACAGCAGCCAGCAACAGTGGGCTCAGAACTGACCGGAGCGACGCTAGTTACAGACACAAGAGGAAGACTTAACTGTGGGAGGTAGGTGATGTGTTCCTACTGCTTCAGTAACCTGTAGATTCCATTATTTACGTTTTGTTTTTTTTTGCACCAGTATTAAAAAAAAAACAGTGTCAGGCTTCTGTTTTGCATATGTAAAAGAAGACGTTTTAGTTTTTTAGTTTTAGTTGTCCTTTGTAAATATATACATACTTTATACTAATATTGTACTAATACTGTGTACTAATAGTTCTGTAGCTTGTACTAACTTTTCATTTATTATATTAGATAATAATATAATGTAATGTAAATGTTTTCAACTTTGTTGAAACTGTGTTGCACGCAAACAAACAAAGGTGCCTTTCTTTCACCGCTGAACCGAGTCATGTGTCTGGGTCTCAGTGAGAGTCAGCTGTTCAGGAGTTTATTATCCGTGTCTGGATCACACATGGATAACAAAATATTTATATCTCCTATTTACTCACACTACAATGCATGAGCACAACGCTCCAGTGGTGGACGTTAGGGTTATGGAGGCCACACAGATCATCAGACCAGATCAGCATCACCACTGCTGCCGTGGAAGAAAGACTTAGACTACAGGCTAATTAATCCACTCAAATGTTAGCACCGTCTACGTCACGCTGGCTCACTCTACAGTCGGGGTCTTTACAGCGATAAAGACATTACAAGGCGGCGTGAGATCACAATATTCTCCGTCTGATTCATCCATACAAACACCCCAGTTTTACAGACCTGTGTTCTGTCAGCAAATCAAATGAATTCAGTTTGAAGGACGGGATGGAATGAATTGTTTTGACTGTGTGATAACTAAAAACACAGATGTTTTGCAATAATGTCAATAATCTCCTTAGAATGCATTATTGTAATGAGATCTACCATCCAGACGTGGTACCCATGGTTCCTGTCAGTGTGCAGAGATTTTCACTCTGTACCAGAGCGATGGTGGTTGTATGAGAAACGAACATCTGATGGAGTAATCATTTCAAATTTTGTTTTTTTCCTAACAGGTTACAAACCCTTAACATGTCTGACAAACTGATGGATATGGAGGAGACTGTGACCCACACGGGTGAGTCAAGGCAGTACCGTAACCACGTCTAGTTTCTGCTTGTTTGTCATGTGAAAGTGATTCATAATTGTCGATTGATTGAAGCTGGGAAATGTTGGCAAACTGCTTCTCTGAGTGGAATCAGATATACTGAGCACAGGGCAATTGGCTCTGAACAGATCAAGAGGACCAAAGGGGAGCTAGTACTGATCTGTGGAGCTTTGTTCACCTGGTGCCCTAATCTTTTTATTATATAACGCTGGGGCAATTAGAGAACTTCCTAGAAAGTTGAGAAGACGCTTTAATCCTCCAATTATAAAGTCCTTAAACAGGACACAGGATCAACTAATGACTTTTTTTCAGCTGAGCTATCAATCAGCTCCCAATCAGTCACTCACGTGTTACTGCTTCAGGGTTCGAAAGTGAAACATTGAGCAAATTTCAACAGGTGTGGAGGTGCTGTGCAAATAAATGACAACAAAAAAATCAAAACCTGGTTTCTCAATAGGTCCAAAGGGAGTCATAAATGACTGGAGGAAGTTCAAACTAGAAAGTATGGACCAAGACAATTTGCCATCGGCAAAAAAAGAACTACTCAGACAGATGTCATCACCCAACAAGACCGGAGATGATTCCAGAGGAAACCTCAACCGCAAGGTACAACTTACAGCAAACACCCTTTATATTTTCAAGGGAAAATGTTGTTTTTGAATTCTGAGTTCTTTGTCAATCAATGAGCTTCTTCAGTAAAGTAAACTATTTGTTTGACGATGGTTGTCATGGTGGAGGTTTGACAGAATCATTCAATTGAAAGGAAAGGTTCATCAGGTGTTAGTGAGACCGACACAGACGTAGAGTTCACTGAACACTGAACAGACAGGAGGGTGAACTGGAGGCTGTCGATGCTGGGATTCTTTTCTTTGGTGTTTATTGCCTAATACATAAACAAGCAAGTACAAGTACAACATATTTGTCTTTGGTACATTGTAATAAAATACTGTAAAATCATAGATTTAAAATAATACACAATACAGCACAGAAGGTAAAGACAAAAAGTGAAAGATGACTCACATTGGAGATGCTTTGTGTAACTGGAGAGAAGTTCAGGGGGAAAGATGACATGTCTGAATTGACTCACATTGGAGCTGCTTTGTGTAACTGGAGAGAAGTTCAGTTTGAAACCAGCTGTGGTGTTTCCTGTCTGATTATCAAGAACACTGTGTTCCATTATCATACTCCATCATCATTTTGATCTTTCAGATAAGCGTCCAAGAGTACGAACTGCTCAAAGAGGACGATGAAGGCTGCCTGAAGAAGTACAGGCGGCGGTGCATGCAGGAGATGCACGAGAAGCTCAGCTTTGGGCCCAAATTTGAAGGTGTTCATGACCTGGACAGTGGCGAGGCCTTCCTGGAGGTCATCGAGAAGGAGCATCACAGCACCGTGGTGGTTGTACACATCTACAAAATTGGAGTCAAAGGCTGCGAGGAGCTGAACAACTGCCTCGACTGCCTGGTGTCCGAGTACCCCACTGTGAAGTTCTGCAGGATTAATGCAGTCACGTCCGGTGCTGCGGAGCGGTTCCGAGACGAAGTCCTGCCTACGCTGCTGGTGTACAAGGCTGGAGAGCTTCTGGGAAACTTCCTGGCCTGCACACAGCACCTGAGTGAGGAGTTTTTTGCCACTGACGTCGAGGCTTTCCTCAACAGCTATGGCCTGTTACCTGAGAAAGAAGTTCCTGACATGGAGGGTGAAGAAGAAAATGAAGTAGAGTGAAACGAGGAGGAACACAGGAAGCTCTTTTGGATAGGCCATAAATGTAAGAAAATATATTTATATGATGGTGTGCAGATAGAAGAGTCACGAGTTCTCCTACTGAAAGATCTTTTAGTGTTTTTCATCTTTAAAAAAAAAAGTTAAAAACCAAAACAAAGCACCAAAGAAATCCCTAATTCAGTTAAATGATACAGTGGAGAAACAAAAAGTTTTATTTGGATTTTTTAAAATGTTTTTAAATGCAGTTACAAAATGATTTTCTCTACTTGGTTTTTGTGTCTGGACTGATCTGTTATACAAGTTATTTATCATGACAAGGTGCGTACAGAGAACCACACCCTGACGTGATTCATTAGAAATACAGTACAGTCCAGATACGCAGCTGTTTTTTTTTTTTATTAAACCGAAAAAAATAAAAAACCCTCACACAGCTGACAGGTGCTTAAGGATAGAAAGGCCAAAGTACTCACGAGGAGGAAACACTTTCTGTAAACACATTTTCCAGCTGCTCTTTTTAACGCAGCTACATGAGCCAATGTGATGAGGCAGATGTTATAGCTGAGAAAAAAAACCAACAACACACTATTATAAGCTGTTTTTTCAACAAGCGTTACTCGCTTAAATTGTTTATAGATTTTCAGAGTTTATGTTTAAAAACAGAGATGATGGTATAATTATTTTTATCTCATTCAGTGTTAATCAGTCCTTATTGGATTCAAATAATGTTCAGGATTTTTATGAATTAAAAGTTTAAGACACTAGTATAAATGTTGTCAAAAATAAACATCTCTTAAAGGTGTTTTGTCATTTATTTATTTAATGATCCCATAAGAAATACTTGTCATTTATCTTCAATAACTACTGTATTTTTTTGTGTCTCTGGACTTGTGTAAAGAGTGTTGTTTTATTATTGTTTCCTGGAGGAGGTAGACTTAAAAAGTCTAAGATAGTCTTAAGTCTAAGATACAACCAAAGATTTTATTACAGAATTTTCTTGGGCCACAAGTGAAATTAAATTACAGCCGAAGTCCCTCAAAACATAGGGATATTTCACTGATAAAATACAGAAACAAACAACCAAAGATTTTAGAATGTATTGTAGTATTTAAAACAGACGCAGGAAGAGATGAAAACGACCCAACGCCGGGTGAGACTTCACTCTTCCCTCCTCCTGAAGCATGTTAAACCTACCGTTCCTCCGTCAGTAACGGCCTGACTCCCTTATGACCTTAGCAAGCTGCCAAAACCACAACACAAAAGATGACTGATACGACTCACAGCTCTGAAAGCCACAGTTTGCTGTGTTGGGAATTAAATTAGGACGCCTCACTTCTGTTGAAATGGCACAAACACATTCCCACACAACCTTCTGCAGGGCTACAGAAAACACGGGTTTGACGGTGACTTTGATTTGTCTGGAACAGACAGTGAAAACACAAAACAGCAAGACATCCTCAAATTTAGGGTAAACCAACAATAAAATGAAGAGGCAAAACCTAAATCTGTTTTTTTTTAATTTTACAACAAATTACTCCCAAATCTATTTTTTTAATTTTACAACAAATTACTCTATTAGTACATATGAGCATTTGTATATTATTTGTTTGAATTTACTTTTTTTTACTTTATTAAAAAAAACTTCTACACAACTGCCACATTACAAAAAAACTTCATAGAGCCATCTTCTGAAAAAAAAATCACATTTAGTTTTTTGTGTGTGAAATTAGGACAATTTTAAAATCTTTTTTCTATCATCTCCTCCTAGATGACAATGTATCACAACTACTAGAAAATTAGATTTTTAAAGTGTGTGCACCAGTGTTGTTGCACAGTTTCCATGTTCGTATTAAATGCTGTATCTCATCAATATAAATACTCCTCCTGTTGAAGTATACAAAGACCTGGTCCCACACTAGTTATTATCAACTATTGGATGCTAATGTGGTAAAATCACTACAACAATAAAAATATAATAATATAGTGAAATCTTAAATGTGTTATTATTATAACTATTATTTACATTTGGTCTACAGTAAATGCTGAAATTGTGTAGCAATCTTATGAGTCAGATCTTAGCAACAAAAACATTTCCAACAAACATTTCTATCTTTGGAGTCTGTGCACGCAAGGTGTACGCCCAGCACGGGTGTTTTAAAAATACAGCATCGCCCTCAGCGAAATGGTAGACGGCGTGCATTTACACCTTTTTTAGCTCCACAATAAAACGCGGGTTATAATCATCTTAATCTGACTCTTGAATGAAATAATGTCATCCACAGCCTGCCAGCTTTATGGATTCCCAAATGCAATTTCCAAAAATTGACATCAAGGTGACTGCTACATTGTTCGATATAAAAGGCTCCAATAATTTCTGACATTTTGTCGGCAAAGGCGCTCTTTGCTTCTAATTAATCTACATTCAAGAGCTAATGAACTTTAACACGCTAAGAGATATTTCTCCGAGGACATACGTGTTTGTGTTTCCACGGTGCCGCATCTGGCATAGCCTCCATAGCCTCTAGCAGGCAACACCTTATTTTCATGGTAGCGTGTCTAAGGTTTATCAAAAAAATATTTGGAGACCTCCCACAAGAATCTTTTCAACAGTGAAAGTTTTTTTCCCGAGGTGCCCAAACATGACCCAGGTTACAGCCCGATATGAAAAAGTGACAGGCAGGTACAAAAAACTCCTTCAGATAGTGCACGCGTGCTGCCGCCGGCACGCAAGGTTCTCACCAGCCTGTGCAATGGAACATGCCTCTGAGCTCCAGCCATGTACAGTACGGAATATGTGGCATTATTCCAATGGGGACCAGGGTTCACAGAGAGTAACAGAAGCCACTGAGAATCAGAGACAAGGTTGAGTGAAGAGGCACAGCACAGATGTTGTCTAAGGTCACAGTAAACACCTACACAAGTACAAGGGTACTACTTCACTACTTCCATACGCCGTTAAAATACAAACTCTCAAAGGCAGGTTTGTATAACTTTTCAGTATAAAACACCAAACATCACTTTAACTGCGTACAAGGTAGGCAAAGATGAAACCTACTAAAGTCACTCTTTGACTCACTGCCTGCCTTGAATAAATGTTTACCTCCGTGTTTACCCCTCAGATGACCAGCTGATCTCGCCCCCACTTCTGATGTTTTCATTCTCTACTACTTTGCTAATTGCAAGTCTTTCAACCTTTTTGTGTTTGCTCTCCTGCACGCTCTACTTCACCCACACAAAAAAAAACCCTGATGTCATGTGATGTTAAGACACAGGGAAGAGACCCGCTCTGAGGCCCATGGCCCCACGTGGCCAAATATGGACACTGGATGCGGACGTCCACCGACTGTCGTCGTAAATCAGACTTTGTTTCGGTCACTCTCTCTGGATGTTTGTAAGTCCCCTTGTGACTCACCGTTTTCAGTGATAAGTTTGTGATGTAATTGTAACTCCTGATGAGATTAGTGGGTGTTTGGAAAAACAAAGTTCTATGACAGGGAGGGCTATAATGGAGCCACTATATAAACACAGGATAGCACTTTGTTGTTACCTAAACACTGAAATAACAGGTGAAGGAGCAGAGAAAAAGGAAGGCAATGGATCAGTGGTAGTAAGGGCAAAACAAAGCTGTGGGCGTACAAACTGAGGAAAATGTCTCAATCACAACTCTTGACACAACATAAAAGACAAATTGCTGCTGCGAGTGCTCGGTGTTGTTGAAAACTTTAATTTGGGAATCATTTGTTAGGATGAATCGCGCCTCATCTACCCTGATTTCAGTGTCCATGCTTCGGGGTTTCCCGACAACTAATGCTGCCGATTAAGAGCTTTGCACAGCAGTGTTGCCATAGGTTATACATTTTGTTATCCGGCCCTGACAGCTTAGTCTTAAAAAAATATCTGCACTGCCTGAAGCCAACCTGAAGCATTTCTGGTGTACGTCAAGTCTTTTGTCTCCCAGAAGCATCTCCTTGGTTATTAATCAATAAAGCACTGATGTATCTTTCAAAACTGGTCCAGACAGAGTCTGAATACCTTTCAGGCATAGATCACGAGGGGCAGCGTTAGGATGTGGGTGAAATTGAAATTGTAGAAGCATTTAAAGCCCGCTGGGTATTAGTTAACGTTTTTAAGATTGTAATTTGTTGGGGGGAAAAAAATGAAGTTTTGTCAAAACGTTTACTATCAAAATAAGGACATGTTGGTTTTATACATGTCATTTTTAATAATCAATCAGATAGATTTTTTTTACAAAAAACAAACACTTTATGTAATAAAATTATAAACAATAATTACTTTAATTTTTACTTTAAACCCCTTTAAACATATTAACTAATCTGTGCTGCAAAGAATGTTTTCTTTTATTATATTTTAACAGAGCCTCTTTAACATAACACGTTTCTTTAATTTAACTTACTTTTTTAAAACTTTTTAATGCAGTCCTTTTCGTACACATTTGAAAAGTTAAAAAATAAACAGACAGAATAAAACAAATTTAATAATACCTTTATGAATATTTTTTTTTATATTTAATATGTATTTTATAAGATAAAAAATACTGACAAAAAACAGAGTACAAAGTTAAATATAAAACAAGGGTAAGAGTTAAAATGACATTTTATTTAAAACAGTTAAATTAATTACAATGAAAAGTAATTTTTAAAAATCAATAGAAATTCGTCAAAACTTTTAAACCATTTACATTTGTTCTTTTTACGGCAAATCAACGGATCGTTTTTAAAGAACGTCGAACTGTAAGTGAACGCCTCAACTTGTTAAGATCACTTCATGTTCATCATAAATTACTTATGTTACCGATTTTTTTTAAACATAGGCAGTGTAATTAATTTATTATGTTTTATAATGTTATTTAAAATGTACTGTAACACAGGAACTATATCAGTATGTCGGACGTAAGAGTTACTAAACTTCTTCTGTACTACACAGCACTTGAAACGCGTAAACAGAACGAACTAGTGAGTAAGGATATCTAATAACTAAACACATTTAAATTAAAATTTGGTAGATTCAATGTTTCTGTCGTTTAGCCATAATTATTTTTGTCATTTGTCGAAAATGTAATAAATGAATAAATGTTTTCAACACTCAAAACTTTTTGAATAAAAAATACAGTAGACTAACGCGGTATGTTCCAGAGACTAAGGCTGTGTGCGGTCGTAAAGAAAACGGTGTCACAGCGCACCCTGGTGGCGACTCAGATATCACATTTCAAAATGCAATTTGCAATATGTACTTAAAATACACAAGGAAAACAACAAACACATAATACTACATGAAAAGCCTCCTTAGAGGACACCTACAAAAGCTTAAAGCGTACGTGAACAGTCATACCTGCTACAAAGGCTTTACATCATCTTCTGTCCAGAGATCTTAAACAATCAAATATTTTAGCAGTAATACTCATTTGAGCGTAATCATAAAAAGCTTGGCCCCTGCTGTAAGACGCAGCATAAACTTCACGTTGACGATGCGGCTTCCGCTGTTGGTGAACGGTTTAACCGCGTATTTGAAGCTATCATCGAAGAAAAATACATTTCCCATGATGCACCAGTAGCGTTTATTTTTCATATCCGCCTCTGCGCATGTTCGAAGTAAGGTTGGAAAACATGGCGGCATTGTTGCTGCAAGAGGTGGAGGCTTCAGAGTTATCCAAGCTTCCAAAAGCGGCCCAAAATAAACTCGAGAGGATTCTGTCAGATCTCCAGTATGAGATCGACTCGTTAAAGGCGCACCAGGAGCAGTTTCGTGTCGACAGCGGTAAGCTAACGTCTTTATTATCGCAGTTTACGATGCTAAAGTGTTTGACTGACCTATGGAAGCATGTTGCTAAACAGCAAAGTTTTAGTTCAAAACATCTCGAAGCGCACACGCGTGTTTTACGTTTCTTGTTGATTTGTGCGTCAATTTATATTTTCAAAAGATTCATAGTAAGTTCTATCGGGTTC